CTTTCCATCCTGCGTCCTGTGCTCAGGTAACACCAGCTTCCGGAAGAGGGGGTGGAGCCCAGAACCCAGCAAATTCCGACCCTCTTCTCCCTTCTTCCTAGGCTGAGGAGAGACCTAGAGGCAGCCCTGACCCTCAGCAACTACCTTGCTAGAAGACAAAGGCTGAGGCCAAGTGGACCCACAGCGCCCCAGCACTTTGGATCTGAACTGGAATCAAAGTTGACTCTGAAAAGCAAGAAAGATGGAGAAGAAGGAAGGAAGAGGTCAGCCAGGATATTCCAAAATGACTGGATTTTGACGAGAAGAGCTAGACAGTCTTAGTGGGGCAGTAGGCAGCTGCAACCTCTACCAACCTCGTCCTGGGCCGGCAAGGTGCCCTGGACAACTGCTGCCAGACTGGCAGAGTTCATGCGGATCAAGCAGAGGGCAAAAGGCTCTCGGAACAGGCAGTGCTGGAAGGTCGCTGGGAAGGATCTAGAGGGTGAAAAAGGCAGGAGGGAGAGTATTAGGCAAACTCAGGTGGTTTCCTGCCTGGGCCGGAGAGTAGCAAAGAGAAATTATTCTGAGGATGACCTAGAAAGATAGGGCTTAAATTGCATTAGGCTGTGGGTAGACTGAAAAGAGCCAGGCCATTGAGACCCAGCCTCAAAGAAAACTGCTCCCCGTCGTGTTCAGCCTCATGAAGGACAGTTGTTCAGGTTTTTGGATCCCAGCTCAATCCTCTTCTGCCTATAGGACTTGGGGCAAATGTATTCATGAGTCTCAGGTTTTTTTTTTTTTAATAAAATAAGATATAATTCAAATGCCACCATTTCCAGCCCTTGAAATATGCAGTTTAGTGTTGTTTTAGTGTACTCACAGAGTTGTGCAACTATTACCACTAATTCCAGAATACTTTCATCACACCGGAAAGAAACTCCATCCATTCACAGTCACTCCCATTTTCCTCGCCCCCCCTCGCCCCCCCAGCCCTTTGCAAGCACTGATCTATTAATACTCCCTGCCTATTTGGGGATGTGCCCATTTGGGGCATTTCATGTAAGTGACCTTCTGTGCCTGGCTCCTTTCATGTAGCATAACCTTTCCTAGGTTCCTCTGTGTTGTAGCATGAACCAAAGTTTCTTTTTTAGTCCTTTATATGGCTGACTAATCTTAATAAAATAAGATATAATTCAAATGCCACCATTTCCAGCCCTTGAAATATGCAGTTTAGTGTTGTTTTAGTGTACTCACAGAGTTGTGCAACTATTACCACTAATTCCAGAATACTTTCATCACACCGGAAAGAAACTCCATCCATTCACAGTCACTCCCATTTTCCTCGCCCCCCCTCGCCCCCCCAGCCCTTTGCAAGCACTGATCTATTAATACTCCCTGCCTATTTGGGGATGTGCCCATTTGGGGCATTTCATGTAAGTGACCTTCTGTGCCTGGCTCCTTTCATGTAGCATAACCTTTCCTAGGTTCCTCTGTGTTGTAGCATGAACCAAAGTTTCTTTTTTAGTCCTTTATATGGCTGACTAATCTTCCATTGAATGGATAACCCTCCTTTTGTTTATGTATTCATCAGTTGATACACACATGAGTTATTCCCACTTTTTGCCTATTGCGAATAATACTGCTGTGAACAATCACTTCCTTTTCTTTTTTTCTCTTTTTTTAACTTTATTTATTATTATTATCATTATTATTTTCCAGTTTGATCAGAGAGAGACAGAGGGAGAGAGAGAGAGGAAGTGAGAAAGCAAGCCACCAGGTCCAAGACTTGAACCGTGGTCGGCCATGTGGGAGTCCAGTGCCTTTAACCACCATGCCACTTGCCGGCCCCACTTCCTTTTCTTAATCATAAAACTGTAGAACATTTTGGGACCAGCAGCAGTTAGTGTAATGGCTTTGTCGCTGGACTCCCACGTAGTCGACCGCGGGTCGTGTCCCGGACCCGGGGGCTTAAAACTCACGCCGGGCGCGTGTGCGTGCGTGCCCAAGAGCCCGAGAGGAGAATGGAGGAGAAGGGATTGCAGCGTGACCATCCCCCCTGGGGGGGGATTTCTCGCTTTCTGTCTCTATGTCTCTCTCTGTCTGTCTGGCGAGCGCACGCGCCCTACAGTGAAAATCTCTCCAAAAAAAAAAAGAAGAAAAAAAAAAAAAAAGAAAAAAAAAAAAAAAGAAAAAAAAAAAAAAAGAAAAAAAAAAAAAAAGAAAAAAAAAAAAAAAGAAAAAAAAAAAAAAAGAAAAAAAAAAAAAAAGAAAAAAAAAAAAAAAGAAAAAAAAAAAAAAAGAAAAAAAAAAAAAAAGAAAAAAAAAAAAAAAGAAAAAAAAAAAAAAAGAAAAAAAAAAAAAAAGAAAAAAAAAAAAAAACCTGTAGAACATTTCTATTAACTACATGGGATCCCTGTGAGTCTTAAATAAGGGAAGTGTGATGTGCCTGACCCATTGTAGTTTTCCCGTAGACATTTATGTTTCTTTCAGCTTTAGTTCACTCAGGAGGCAGGAAGAGACATACCCAGGTTCAAGCACCTTCCACAGGTGAGTGATGGAAGCGCCTCAGTAGGGTGCAGTCCCTGGATTGGGTGGGTGGGGAGAACAGGCAAGGAAGTGGGACCCTCTCTCCATGTTTCTGCTTAGTGTTTACAAACAACTACCAACTTAACATCCAGCTTCCTCTAGTCCAGCAGGCCTTAGTCCACCTGGGGGGACTCAGACAAGGTTTTCCCATGTAGATGAGCTTCTAGGGGACAGCCCTGTTTCCAGGCAAGCCCACAAAAGCAAGTTGAATCTAGCTCCTCAAGGCACCTGAATCTAGTATACACCTATTATGAGGCAAGCATAGCTTCTCTGAAATTTGGTTTCTTCTCACCTGTAAAAAAGGAATCGTATTCATTTCTAAGAGTTGGTGTTAACTTTATGTTGTTCTCTCTAACACTTACGAAGCTCTGGCTTATCCTAGCTGCTTTTGCACTTACTGTCTGACCTCCTCTGTAGAACACAAGTTCCATGAGAGCAGGGGCTTCAGTCTGTTCACTGCTGCGTCCCCAGTGCCTGGGACAGTGCCTGGTGAGGACCTGGTAACTGTTTGTTGAATAATGCACTTTGTTCATCCACGATTCTCCCATTTTGTTGGTTGGGCCGGTATTGCACAGGGGGAAACAGAGCAGTGAGCCACTCCCTGCCTCCAGGGAGATTTCGAGTGGAGATGACAGATAGGCCAAAGCAAATACATTAAAAGGAGACTTGATAAGTACAACGCGAGTCTTCACGTTCTAGCATCCTGCCTGACCGGACAGGCCCTCCCTGAAGACGGAATCGGAACCAGACCTGAGATAGACCCCAGAGACATCCCAGTGGTCTTACCTGTGCCTTGCCCAGAGCTTGGCTTCTGGTAGGGAGCAGACCTTTTCCCCACTGGAGAAGGGAAAGGGGGAAGCAGAGAAAGGGAGTGTCCTCTTTCTCTCCTGGGCTCTAGGCCAGGCAGCCACCGGCAAAACTTTGAAAAAGCCTCAATTTTCCTGGATGCATCTCCCTGATCCTAATTCCTCCAGCCTGGCCCCCATTGCCTTAAGCCCTAGGCCTCGCTCCCCAGATTCCAAAAGTGAGAAAAGAACGTCCTCCCCTCACCACAGTCCAAAAGCTTCTTGCTCAGAAGAGCCACCCCTGGGCTAGCCGGGAGATGGAAAGCGATCTGGTTGAACTCAGCAAACAGGGTAGGAATTGCCTCTTGAAGCATCTGTTTATGTAAAAGGAAAGGAGCGTCTTGAGGCTCGGGGCACCTGGACAGCAACCTCCACCCCTTTGACTTGTGCTTGCCCTTCAGGAAGTCTTTCCTTCCTCAGCTTCTCCAAAGAGGCTGAGCTGGGGTCGCTGCTGATTTTTTTTTTTTTTTTTTACAGCATAAAGCCAGTTGTTCACAGGACTGTGCTTAAAGAAGGACAAGCCTGAACTCTCCGTCCTGCCTCAGGGCCTGGGC